ATTATTTATTGTCAATTAATGTAAAATTATGCCTTCAGGGCCTGGCCAGGGTTCTCAGCCCTTTCAGTTAAGTGCACCAAGCTGTTACGTCATGGTGAGTTATTTGTATCTTTCATTAATTGCATGATGTCAGCAGACATTTTTGTCCATTCTAGCATCATTTTTACAATTTCTCACCAATACATTGTAAGTGTTGTAGGCTAAGAGGTCAAATATCTGAATACGTTTCACATACATGTACACACACAGATACTGACTTAAACATTTAGGGTAAAAGTCTAGCTCTTATTCTATTTTGTAACATGATGTCAGCTTCTGTGATGACTTTTCATTGAGAATGGAAATTTCCAGTGATTTTTGGGTTTGGGTGTTGAATTAACTTTAACACTCCTGGTTTCTTACCTAAAAATGGGATGTATACAAAAGTGAGGTGTGATGGCTTATATCTAGATGCCCTCCCAAAGCTGCAAGCACTCATAGGTGGGGCTTTGGGGAGTGATTGGATCATAGGTGTGTGATAGTAGATTAATCCACTAATTACTTGAGCATAGTTCTGAGTGTGGGTGATGGACTTAGTGAAGAGGGAAGACCCACCCTGTATGTGCATGGCACCAACCAATAGGATTGTAGCCTGGAGAGAATAAATAGGGAAAGAAGGAAGACTCTTTACTTCCTGCCTGCCATGCCATGGACTATTTCTCCATTGCCATGCCTCTCTGCCATGCCTCTCTGCCTTGGAGCCAGCTCACTATGAACTGAAACCTGTACAAACTGTGAGCTAAAATAAACCTTTCCTCTTTTAACTTGTGGGTGTCAGGTAGGTAGTGTTGTCTGAGTCTTTTTGGCAGATGAACTGGCTAGATGAGTTCACCATGTCTGAGCCTTTGCCAGCTGCATAGACCTTGCATCTTTGCTGACTTGGCCTCTAGTCTGACCCTAGCAGGTGGCCTGTAATTGGGAGAACAGGTGTGAGGTCAGGTACAGGAGTAGGCCTGCCTCCACCTCACAGGTCTGATTTGCCTGTACCAGTCAACACAGATGAGTAATTTCTTGGGCAGAGCTGTTTGAACTGGAAATTGTTGTATAGTGAATGTAAGGGCATAAAAGCCTGAGGCTGGGCTGTAGCTCAGTGGCATGGCGCTTAGTTCATATGCACAAATTGCTGGGTTCCATCCCCAACACCACACACAAAACAGCATGATTTCTTTGTCATTATAAAAGGCACATGATTCTGCTCCACTGAAAGAAATTGTACCCCCTTAGCCCACCCCACAGGCCACCTTGAACTCTCAAGGGCACTACTAGATGATGTTCCCTCCATTCACACCAGTGCAACCCCAGCAATTTGGAGTCACTCACATGGCTGGAGACCAGCCCCTACCAAGTAGAACCCAGTGTTTGCACACGTGGACAGCTATTATAAAGGGCTAACTCCATGCTCAATCACTTCTCGTGAAGCAACACAGCTAACAGGTGAGTACAGGCCAAGGGGAGGGCATTGTCAATCAAAAGGAAAACAAGGAAACACAGCTCTCTAGGGCAGTTTTCACGAGGCCTCATGGTTTCCAGAGTGTCCGCTGAGTGGCAGTGGCCTTTCCTGGGGAGACAGAGACCCTTTGTCTCAGACCCTGTGCTCAAGGTCATGCTCCAGATGCCTGGTGGAATCCTTGCCCCTCCCTGCCCTGGTAGCCCTAGGTGTACCTCACTTGCCCAGCTTGGACACGAAGTCCAGGAAAGGGTGCCGCCCACCCGGAGGTTCTAGTCTGTGGCCTGGCTTACATCTCATCCTCTAACCACTGAGATTCAGTGAAACTGGAGGGCGAGAGGGAAGGAGGGCAAGGGGGACTCATAGAAAGGTAGCGAATATTTTTCATAAAACTTCTGCCACTTTGTGTCACGCCTCAGGGAGAACAGGAGCCGGCTGTTTCAGGAGGTAGATGTAATTTACACAGTATGGTGCGGTGGCTCTGCAAGGGGCCTCTTGGAGCTGATCTAGCTGCCAGCACATGCCTGTCTTTCCAGGGCCCCTGCTCCCTTCCCACCTCACTACCCCATCCAGAAGTGGGGCCCAGTGCCTGCTCAGGGGACACAAGCCCTGCAGACTGCCTGCCTCCAACGACCCTTTCGTAACAGGTTAAAGGCATCGCTTCAGAGGCACATTCACCACACTGAAAGGGGAAGACAAAGCCATCCAATGTACATCATGAATAATGATGCACAGGAAATAATGATATGTGTACTGTTACTGTATAATATTACTGTTACCTCATCCTTTATTATATTACACAGTATATATTATATAGTATAATACACAATATATTATATCAATTTTAAATATCAATTAATATATTATTTAGAATACACTTATAAACTAAATATATAAATATACAATTAAACAAATTCACTGCTATAAGCAACAAGCGGCATCATCAGTCACTGTCTTCACTCCCAGGAATGGGGGCTTCCTCCCCTCAGCTCAGACCAGGGAAGGAAACACGTTATTATGAAAATATCCCTGTATAGCAGTGGCCCTTAATCATGAGCCTCTTCATAGCCAGAGGACAAAGTCCTTGCTGCCCAACTCCTTGTCCTTGGAACTTCTAATCAATGCACATTCTGCTTCCACCTCACGTACTTAATCAAAGGAACTTCTGCTATGCTCAATGTCTCTACATAGAGGAAAGAAGCTTGAAGTGGCTGCAGAACTGTCCCTGGGAAGAAAAATCCTAATCGGGCGTGTAGTTTCCCAATGATATTTTAATGGTGAAATGGGCACTTAATTCAAACGGGATTTGAGGCCAGCAGCACACTGTGTCAGCAGCTGTTGTGATGCCCAAGGTCTCCTTGGAATGTACATGTGGCTTCTCCCCAGGAGCACTAGCTGGTTTCGTTGGTCTTGTGGAAGTTCCTGGGTTCTCAGACCTGCACAGGCTCAAAGGCTGGCAGTCACTAGGAGCCCATCCTACAGAGGGACATGGCTCATGCTGCCATGCACTACTCTTTTTTGAGCCTCTAACATGTTCCTTTTCAAGGTTGGGGAGACGGTAGAGATGCCAGAAATTGTTCAATATTTAGTTTAGTTTGCTTGACTTAGTATGTCACACCCTGGTGTGTGCAGTGGTAACTGAGGTACTACAGTACTTATGATCAAATAAGTCTGGGAAATGTGGTCTCTTTCTCAGAGGCAAAAAGAGAAGCATGGGAGGGGGACTGAGGATGGAAGCCAGGGCCTTGCACAGGCCACCAAAGTGCTCCAGCACTAGCTGCACCTCACCCCAAGAAAAGCATTTTTTACTTTAATCCAGCATTCAAATTAGTTAACTCTGATCTCCCCCCATACACAAACCATGGACACACAACATATACCACACACACTATGAACATCACAAAGGACATGCATGTACTACATATACACAGATCACATACCATACAAACATAAGACACACATGTGCAAACACATACACACACATTACTGGAAATACTTGTTAATGCCACTGAATGCAATTTGAAAATACCACTGTAAATTGAGATTGAAGTTTTTAATAATAACATTAGATTTATCAATTTTGAGTATTTCTTGTCATATCAATAGGGTAACTCATTTTGTCAATACTGCTTTGTTCACAGATCTTTTGAACTACCACTCTTCGCTGTTAACCTCAATACTGTGTTGGTAGCAAACCAACCATAGCAGTGGTTCTTTAGTTTTACAACGAAGATTACTTGGAAACAAACTGTCTCCATCCCCCCACTAATGACTCCTCCCAATTTCAAAAAAGGAGGAAAAGGTAGTCGCAAGCCAGGGCTCCCTCCCTTGCTCCTTCCTTCACTCCCTTTCTCCTTCCCTCCCTCTCCAAACCCTTCTGTCCCTCTTTCCCTCCTCCCTCCTCCCTCCTTCCATCCTGCCTCTGTTACTCCTTCCCTCCCTTCTTGCCTTTTTCTCTCCCTCTCCTCCCCTCTCTCCTCAAAACTTGCTTCACTGAAAATGCAGCATCTGTCAAAACTCACCCCCTTTGCATCAGAGACTCTTAAACACTACACCATTTCCATCCAGCAAGTTATGTATGTTGTTACGTGGTAAATTATGCATGAATGATACTAACATTGTCAAAGAAGCACATCGAAATTGCCTTAAGTTGGAATTTTTGATGAGCATATTGTCTTTGGACTTGGGAATGTCTTCGTTCTCCCTAAGAGGGCTTGACACTTTTGCTTTCTTCTCCAGTTCATAATGCAACATCATGCACCATCATCAGTTATAATTTTCTCAAAAACTAGCTTGTTCCTCTTCTTTGACATTTAGAAGAATATTTCAAATCTGCATTTTCCACTTATCTTTTAAAATATGAGACATAATTTTCACATTATCTTTGCTTTTGCTGAATAAGTTTGTTAAAGCTCCATGCTTCCCTCTCAACAATTTTATCACATTACCACCTACTTGACTGGTCCCCACCTCTGCCCACTGCACCTCCAGGGGACCTAGCCCTCAGGCAGACACCTGGGTGTCTGGCTTCTGTCATCTTTAACTTCTCAAGCCTAGAAAGCTCTCACTGATCATAGGACATCATGGTTTAAAGCTTCTTTTAACATACTTGAACTCATTTAACTATAAAAATGTTTCATTTTTGTTGCTAATTACACTGCCTTTCCAGGCCAATAGGATACTGCACAGGTGCCCATGGAGCAATGTCTGCATGTCCTCCAAAGCTTTGATGGTGTAGTCACAACCATTTAAAACCTGACACTAACAGAATGTAACAAGCAGACAGACAGGGAAAAATGGGGTGAAAACACAGAGGGGTCTGCTCTGTGGATGTGGCAGGAAGCCCTCTAAGTGACAAGAGGTGGGTATCCATGGGGTTGTATGAGGCAAGGGAGGCACAGAGCAAGCAGCACAACCTCTCTTCTGAAAGCTCTGCTAGGTCACTATCACAGGGCCCCTCATGGAACATTTTCTTCACTGTCAATTTAGAAAACAACCCATTCCTCGACCAAAGATGAGCTTGCAGAGGGCTGGCTTCATGAGGCCTCTGTTGTTCTTTGTGGATGATGACACGCCAGACATGGTGCAGAGCATCCTGCTTGAGAGCAGCTGGGACCAGGGGCAGAAGGTGGAGAATTGGCACCTGTACAAGAGGACCTCCTCCTTCCAGATGGCAGAATGCATCAATGTCAAGACATGGCAGTGACTGAACTACCCCCTGGGCATCACCGAGCTTGCCAGGAAGAACCATCTGGACAGACACCTGGAGCACGTGAAGAGGTGGTATGGTGAATCCCTTTAGGAATTCACCCTCCTGATGATTGTCATGCCCATGTCGGTTCACGGCTGAGTACTCAGGAGAAGCAGATACCAAGGACTAAGCACAACTATTGCATTTGCAAGCAGGCCAAATTATCTCACTGGAGAGGGATAATAATTTTCAGCAACATTAAAGATCTAATCTTTGATGACATATATAGAGTCCAGAAATATATCTGCAACTGTTGACTTGTTGGTAGGAGCTTTAAGCCTTTGACAACTTATATGTATCAGGAAAGGTTAGTATGGTTTGCCACAGAAGTTTGACACTCACTAATTCGCAAGACTGCTTTGCCCATCTGACTAATAGCAGTGTCTATAAATCAGGAGCCTCCTATGAGCAGATCAAAGAGGTGGTTGATCATGGGTGCAAATGGACCCTCAGCCAGTTCTTCTCCTACCTTCTTAACCAGGATGTGGATGACCTGCTGTTGTGGCATCAAATCCTCCCTGTGATTATCCTCACCATCTTCACCATGGCCCCATCAGTGTCCTTTACTGTCAATTGCTTTGAGCTCTTTTGGTTATATATTTTGACTGATGGTAACTTGAAACCATGCTTTTAGAAGTCAACCTTGTCCTTGCATTGTTCTTCACAGATACATTGGTGAAGAGGAAACTTGTCCTTGATATGACTGAATCGGTTTGCTTAAATGGTCTGAGAAATGAGGAGAAGGAATGCAGTAAAGCTACAAATGGACATTCCAATGTCTCCTTTGCCAATATTGATAATCAGCTCAGCAGAGTGCACAACTCTTCCCCCCATGAATATTCGCTGTAATTCACAGCCAGTCAAGGTGCACAGTGAGAAGTACTGTGCCATGGAGAAAGTGGTAAGAATGCATCCTACATGCACATGCACCTTCAGGCTGAGAGAAATACCATCAAGTGGGACTCACGTCTATCCTCAAGAGTGGTACCCAAAACCAAACCAAAGCTACAGGCAGGTATGTCCTACATACCTTATAGGACATTTACTCCTCACATTTCATGTATTCAGTCATGCCCCTGCAGGACAAAGCTTACCCTCAGTGTTCTGTCAGAGGCTGGCTGATCTCCAAGCAGGCAACTTTGATCATTTTTCCTTTCAATGAAATTACTTTTTGAGTTTCCACAAATGGACTAAATGTCAAAAGATAATCCAAGATCTCTAGAAACTAGTGAATAAGTAACATTCATTCCCAAGTGGCAGAAAGTAAAACAAAGAGAAGGTGATATGGCCTTTTGAAAACCAAAGATTCCTGTCCCAGAAAGAGCAACAGATCAATCCTTTAATGTGTGCCTTCAGAATTTGACCATGTCATGGGGACTAAAGGCGTGGCCGCAGATATAAAGATGGCTCTAAAGAGTGTAACTGTCCAAGTGGTGATTAATTACATTATCGCTCATGTTTATTTGATCAGATCTCTTGGAAGAACCCTACGCAGCTCTTTCCTTATATGTAAATATGCTGTATTACAATTATGCTATGTATTTATTCCAACATGAGAAAAAAGCATTATAACTGTTTTAAGAATTGTTAGGAGAAAACAGTACAAAAAAGTCTAGGAATTAACATTTTGCTTTTTAATCAAACATTTTTTGTCAGAACTATTTTGTCAACTACATGAGCAGTCATTGAAAGTAAGATAAATTACTGAAAACTCAAATGGCTGTGTCATTCATAGATCCTGGCCCCTGATCAGATCTATAGCAGGTAGCTCCCCACTAGGCATCCACCAGCCACCTTAAAGAATTCCTTATCTTGGATAGCCATGTCATGATCTCTACCCCAGCACATGGTGACAGAACCTTCCAGACTAGGCATATTATCAGTACTAACTGATTAAAAAGCATCTGAACAGTCCTGGTACATAAAGGTCACTTGAAAACATTATGCTAAGGGAAAGCAACTGGGCCCAAAAGGCCACAGAGTGCACGATTCCATTTACATAAAATGTTCAGAGATGGAAATCCACAGAAAGAATGTTTTTTTTGTTCCAGGGGTCAAGGAAGGGGAATGGGGAATGGGGAATGGGGAGTGAGGAATGGGGAATAGGCAGAAGTTTCCTTTTAGAGTGATGAAAATGTTTTGATACTAGACAGTGGTGATGATTGCATAACACTGTGAATGTTCTGTCCCTAATGGTATATGTGTATTTTACCACAATAAAAGGAATTAATAATTAAATTGCCTTTAAAATGTCAACCAAGAATAGTATACCCAGGAAAGCTGCTCTTCAGGAATGAAGGAGAATAATTAGTTTAAGTGTAAATATTTAAATTTTCCTATCAAAAAATACAGAGTAGACAGTGGATTTTTAAAAACATGCAACATGATGTAGCCTACAATGGACCCACCTTAGTCTTAAGAGCACATATAGACTGTAAGTGATGAGATAGGGAAAGATATTCCAGGCAAATGGCAGCCAAAAGAGGCAGGAGCCGTGTCTTTGCTTTCTGTGGCTGTAAGAGAATAGCTGAGACAGTGATTTACAAAGAAAAGAGGTTTATTTTGGCTCATGGTCCTAGAGACTGGGAAGTTCTAGAGACTGAGCATGTCACTGGCATCTTCTCTGCTTCTGGGGAGTCCTGTGCTGCTTCAAATCATGGCAGAAAGCAGAAGGGCAGGCAGACACGTGTGAATTCCCATGGGAGGTACACCCCTGAGGACTGCTCTACTGCACTCGGGAGACCTTCGCCCATAGTCCAAACACCTTGTGCCAGGCCCACCTCTTACAAATGCACACACATTTAACACCTAATGAATGGGCCAATGTATAAATTGAAAGGAAAATTTAAAAGTATCTTGAGATAATGAAAATTGAACCATAAAATACCAAAACTTATGAGATATAGCAAAATAAGTTCTAAGAAAGAAATTTATAGCAATATATTAGTTAGGGTTCACCAGATGAACAAAATCAATATAAATCATATGTAGAATTATACAAGGGATTTATTAGGTAGGCTTTCAGGATCAGAAGAGGAAGAGTCCGCGTCTGTCTGCAGATTCAGAGGCGGAAGGATCCAAAATGGTTGTCTGCACAGTGGCGAGCCAGATCATACTGTACTGGATACTAACCAAGGTCCAAGGCCTGGAGGTTTGCTGCAGAATCACCAGTACGAGTGTGTCAGAAAGCCAAAGAGTCTGCATTGGAAAGCTAAAGAGTGTGCACTGGAAGCTTTACTAATCTTCTTCAGGTTAAGCTGACATATTACAGTTAACGATCATAAGCAATAAACAACTACATCAAGAAAGAAGAAAGATCTCAAATAAACCTCACAGTATACCTCAAGAAAGTTTTAAAAAAAGAAACTAAGTTGATAAAATGAAGAGAATAATAAAGCTAGAGAAAAAATATATGAAATAGAGACTAGAAAAACTGTAGAAAAGAGAAACAAAATGAAGAGCTGCGTTTTTAAAACATTTATTTTATTAAAATTCCAAATATAGTTTGATGAGAAAGATAAAGCATAAAGCAGTGGCAGACATCTGACACTAAAGGTAAGCTTCCTCCCAGTATGTTCACCAGATCTTTCCTCAGCAGCAACTGCTGTTGGTTTTTGTATCAACTTGTCATGTTTTTGTGTGTACACATATAAACATATCTGAATATGTTTTTCAAACATTTTCTACTTTTTTATTCGTGCATATTAATTGTACAAAATAATGGGTTTCAATGTGATGTTTTCATACATGCAGCTGAGCTGGTTCTATCATATTCACACTCCATTACCCTCTTACTTCCCTTCCTCTCTCTTTGGTCCCCTTCCAGAGTGTTTCTGAGGGGATAAGCCAAATCAACAAACTTTAGCTGGACTAAGAAAAAAAGACTCAAATGAATAAAATCAGAATTGAAAGTCATTACAACTGAACCACAGAAATAATAGAAAAGATAATGAAACTACTATGAACAAAGTGGATAACCTAGAAATGGCTAAATCCTAAAAACACACAGCCTACCAAGACAAAATCATGAAGAAATAGAAAACCTGAACAGGCCAGTGAATGAGGAGACTTTCAGTAATAAAATTCTTCCATCAAAGAAATGCCCAGGACCTGATGGCTTCCCTGCTGAATTCTGCTGATCTAAGGCAGGAAATAACTAAGGAAAAGGCTAGGGAAAGAAGGGAGGGTCTGTCCACCCTAGAGTCCATTTTCTGGGCTAGAATTGAGGTATAAGACAACTAAGGAAACAGCTGGGGAGAAAAAGAGGGCCCATCCTGGAGCGTACTTTCTGGGACTAGATACACCTTCTCAGTTAAGCGTTAGCCCAGAACCAAGATGCTCAGCTCTAAATACAATGGCAAAATGTAACCAAGTTACTTAGCTCATACACAATAAATCCCGGGCATGTGCCTAGTGGTCTTCTGCAACCCTTGGCTGAACCCAACACTAATCACTGTGTCACTGATGATGAAAATTTGACCCTTCCTGAGGACTTTAGATGCCATGACAGTTCCCCAAGGGTCATAAAAGATTAAAAACTCCACCACCTGGGCCAGGGATTTAGCTCAGTGGTTCCACCGCCTGCCTTGTAAGCGCAAGCACCCAAGTTCAATCCCTCATACCAACCACCCCCCCCAAAACTCCACAGCCCCACAGAACAGCTGAGTCAAGCTGCTCATTGGCAGGAGTCATATCTCAGACAAAACTCTCAATTGCACCCCAAACCCTAAGGCTTAAAGCTTTCAACACCAAGCCCCCTCGGTGCCGTGAACTCTTCTCACTGGCCCATTCCCACTCTGGGGGTGAGCCTTGTCTTTTCTCTTTAAAATAAATCATTGATCCTGCTAGTACTCTTGGGTGTCCTGCTCAAGTCTTTGTTTAAGACATCTAGAACCTGAACAAGACCTCGACGTGGGAAGAGAACACCAATTTTCAAATTCATCCAAAAAATTGCAGAAGAGTGGATATTTTCAAACTTATTTTGCCAAGATAACACTGCCCTGATACCAAAGCCAGACAAGGACACTACAAGAAAAGAATAGGTCAATATCTTTGATGACCATAGATAAAAACTCTGCACAATAAACTAGCAAACCAAATTCGACACATGGTTGTGTCATTTGTGGCAGCGCAACTTTGATCTGTTCCTAGGCTACTGGTATGCCATACAATACTCTCTGTTGCTGGGCTGGAGCATTGAGCCACACCTCTCAACTAGCCACTGGATTGCCAGGGAAACAACTCATTCTCTACAATGTGCTGTGATAGGAAGCTGTGATATTTTGATGGTCAGTAGTGTATTAAGTAAAAAAAGTACAGTTCCTATACCTTTACCTACTCTAAGTTTTTCAGTGTTATGCTCTTGTTGAGTGCAGTCCCCATCTTCCCAGTTCCTCTGACTTTGAAGCTAATGACATTTAGGGTTTATTTACGACAAGAAGCCTTTCTGCACGCTGACCCAGGCTCTAACTGATCAGGCTGAAGAAGTCAGAGTTGAAAAGTCAAAGTCACAGGTGGAGAAGGCTGACATCACCTCCCGTGTGCCCTGAGCTACTGGGGCCTTGGACCAGTGATGAGGTTTTAGGGACACAATGTGAGAAGTACCCAGAGGGATTTGGGGCCAGGAAGCACTTGGGAAGACCTATCCTAGGTGTAGTGGGTTGATGAAGACTAAATTTCCAGAAGGGTTGATGGCTGCATCAGCCTCTGAAGGACAAAGTGGGGGTCTTAATGCAGTAAGTTGGTTCGGGGGACTTCTGTGTGGTGTGGGGTCATGAGAGGAGGCTGTGGAGAGTGACAAGAGAGGAGGACAGAGGAGCCACAGGGACAGATGGTCACGAGGCCTAAATGCCATGCTCCAAATAGGGACATGGCCTTTAGGAAACCATAGATCCACTGAGGGGGAGGCTCGACTGAGTGACTGGGCAGCTCAGAAGCATTGTCCGGGGCTAACAGTGACAATGATGAGTGTGTCACCAGCCATTCCTCTTTCTTCTCACAGGGTGAAGTGTCACATGTTTGGAAAAATGACCAAAGGACAGTTGAGTGACTTTTCTAAACTCACCATGGACAGTGGCCCAGATGGGACCGACAGAGGGCCTTTGGATCCTTATTCACTGGACAGTCTGTGGCTGACTCGATCCACTCTCCAGACCTGTACACTCTGTTGTTCCATGATTTCCTTAAATATTTGTTCCCCTTTTGACCAACTGCATATACTTAGGTACTACTTGCAAACAT